AGAGCCTTCCCACCGTTTGTCTCCATCAGCAGCGAATACTGACTGGGGTGGGATCAGCCAGGAAGCTGGGTGGCTGTGAATCCAGCCAGGAAGCGGGATGATTGTGAATTCAGCCAGAAAGCTGGATGAAGGAGAATCCAGCCAGAAAGCTGGATAATTGTGAATCCAGCCAGAAAGCTGGATAAACGCGAATCCGGCCCGGAAGCTGGATAACTGTGAATCCAGCCAGGAAGCTGGATGACTGTGAATCCGGCCAGGAAGCTGGATAATTGTGAATCCAGCCAGAAAGCTGGATGAATGAGAATCCAGCCAGGAAGCTGGATAATTGTGAATCCAGCCAGGAAGCTGGGTGAATGTGAATCCAGCCAGGAAGCTGGGTGAATGTGAATCCAGCCAGAAAGCTGGATGGCTGTGAATCCAGCAAGGCGGATATTTGGGAGAGGCTCTCTCCCCCAACAGCACAATAAAACTAAAGAAGTCCGGGTCCATAACCCCGGAGCCCAGCCCGGGGGAGCAGGAGGCTTGGCAGTGCTCTCAGGGGCGCCGACGAAAGTCTAGGCAGTGACAAACACCTGCGTTCCCTCAAAACCTCACTGGAGGTAACTGGGAAGAAGGCTGTACACTCCAAATGAATTCCAGCTTGTTGCAGGACAGCTTACGCCTCCTCTCCTGCACGCGGAATTCACGGCCGTGTGGTAGCTGCAGGCTGTACCAGCAGAAGGAACACTTGATGGGCAGCGTCATTAGAGACATCGGTCTTGTAGGTGTGCCCCGTGCATTTTGGGATCACTGCTGGCAGTGCTAGTCCTACCTCACAGCTGCTGCATCGGGAAGCTACTTTTCCCGAGACACACAGGCTTATCCCGCGTGCACGTGGCTGTATCCCGGCGTGACCAGGTCTGTCTGGACTGCGATTCCGTGCAGTGGTGGAAGGAAGAAAAGGGTGGATGAACTACTTAGGGATATGGTTTAATGGGCGATTAGGGACGGTTGGACTGGGTGATCTCTAAGGTCTTTTCCAACCTAGAAATCTATGAAATCTATGAAAGTGGTGCCTTTGTGCAAACGAACGAGAGAAGGGCCAAGCTGTGCTTTTCGGCCATTCCTGGTATATCTGTGCACGGGTGTTCTCTCCAGCATGTCCACGTCTGTCTTCTATTGGGGAGCCAGCACTGGCCACAGTAACTGGTATTTCCAAGGGGCAGGGGATAACTGGTGCGCCACAGCCCTGCTGTTTGTGGACGAAGGTGTGGTTGATGCTACACGCTTCTATGATTCTATGTCCACGTCTCTCTTGCAAAACGGGGTGCTTTTTTTCACCCCCGGAGGCCAGGGCTTGTGTCTTCTGGGCATGGTCCCCGAAAGCTCTGTGATGTCACCAGTGAGTCACAATGACACCTGTGACATCAGTCCTTTTGAGGCGCACAGCAGAGCCGAAGGGCCACACTGCCGTCCTCGAGCGCGGCGGACTGTCGCCTGCAGGAGGGGGGGCGAAGGACTCCCATCCCACGGGCCCCCTGCCCAACGAGGAGAGGATTGTGTCTTCTGGGCATGGTCCCCGAAAGCTCTGTGATGTCACCAGTGAGTCACAATGACACCTGTGACATCAGTCCTTTTGAGGCGCACAGCAGAGCCGAAGGGCCACACTGCCGTCCTCGAGCGCGGCGGACTGTCGCCTGCAGGAGGGGGGGCGAAGGACTCCCATCCCACGGGCCCCCTGCCCAACGAGGAGAGGATCCGACACACA